GGCTTGGTTTGTCTGTCTGTCCGTCCGATAACGACCTCCAGCCAGTCCTCCCCCCTGCTGGGGCAGATTCGTGTGTGAAGGGATGTCAGAGTCTTGTGAGCAACAACCGGTCCCTGCTTGTGCCGCGCTATGTGCTACCTCGGGCTGATCAGAGAAGCAGGGATTGACACTAAAAGTGGGAAGCTGAGTGAAACATTTTAATAAGCAATGAGCACCTCGCTGCCTTTAAACAGCGAACACGGAGATAGCTTGACTTACAAGCTGAAAGGCTCTAGGTATTTTGCTAAAACGACAGTGAAAAGATCAAACAGAGAGCGAGAGAGAAGGAGAGAGTCTGTCTCAGCCCCTGAACAGAAAAAAAAAGGAAGGGGAAGCTGGCAAAGTGCTGGGTAAAGTCGCCACGACCCGAGCAGAGATCTGTACGGGTAGAAATGGAGGCAGAAGAAGGGGGATTCCGCCAGGTCCTGCCCTTCCAGTGTGTGTGTGTGCGTGTGCATGTGTGTGTGCGTGTGCATGTGTGTGTGCGCGTGTATGTGTGTGTTGGGGGGGGGGAGCTGTCAAGTAAGTTGCTGTCAGGCTCCTTAGCCTGGCTGGGCTCCGGCTCGCGGGGGAGCCTCCTCTCCAGGGGCTATAATTAACAAGCTGCCTGGACTCAGCAGAGCTCATCAAAGAGCCCTGGCCCCGGGCGAGCGCCCCCGCACCAGGCCAGGTGTCCCTGCCGGCTGCCTCCTGGGGAAAGTTTCCGCTCCTCGGACTCGCCTCGAGGGAGCCGTGCGGAGGGCCGGAGCACGGGGAAGGACGAGATCCCACTGGCGGGGGCAGTTCAAGAGGGAGGGGAAGGACACGGCTGGAAGTTTGCCCGAGAAAGTTGCTAGGTGAGCGCGCAAGCAGGATCAGGCGGGAGCAGGGGGTCGGCAGCACGGAGGAGCCCCGAGGGGGGCTCCCTCAGGGGCTGGACGAGGTGAACGCGCGAGCAGGCACCGACGTGGGCCAGGAGCGGACCTGGCCCGTGGGGGGGCAGCCTGGCGGGAGCCGCGCGGCGCTGGCCGGGCCGGGCAGGGCCGGGCCGA